GATATGATGTGAGAAAAGCTGAAAATTGTGAAGGTCCCTTCGAAACATCAACGTTTGCCGACAATATGAAATTGTGGCGCAATGTTTGTAACGCTGAAGAATTGATGTCATCTGGGTCAGATGACGATGAACAGGATGGCCGAATGTAAACAGTGGTCATCAGCCATTAACCGTCGCCAAACACAGTAGTCAACAACAACCACTAAATAAGTCTACGTTGTTGTTATAAGCATACGATTTCCAGTCGCCTTTTACTCTCTCAGCTGATCCCGTTGTACAAGCAGTTGACCGTCGCTTTATCAAGTACCAGTTGACCAAGCAGAGGCAGTCTAAAAGTTGATTTGCGCGCCGTCGGTAATCGAAAGTTGTAGCATCCGTTGAACCGTGCTAAATAAAAGTAGACTAAATTGTTGTAAATTATAACTTAAATCAAACTACCTATTTGCTTAAATTTGTGAAATTAAAATACCTACTTAACTTAAATTGTGAAATCAAAATACTTAAATTAAAATTGTGAACTTAAATAATGAAATTAAATTATAATTAAAAGTGATTTTTACATCGCACAAAATATTATAGTTACTTTTTTCATTACATGTGTATTGGTTATGACTCATAACTCATCACTTATGAGACAAGATAGAAATGTATGTAACGTAAATTTCAAAATTCTGCTTATTTTCACCAACATTTTAAACTTTTTAGTCAGCATTTTAGTGTGCAGGTTTGTAGAACATTTAATAATAATGAATGAATAATGAATAATGAAGTGCAAGTAGTGATAGAACGATACAAGTATCGAGTACAGAATATCGATACTTTTCATGAGTACTGAGTAGTATCGAGAAATCGATACTTTTTGGCAAATACTGAGTAAATATCGCGAATACCAAAAAGAATCGGCGCGTTTAAAATTTTTTAAGTAAAACAATTTAAAATTACATATAAAATTTCGTTCCTTCAATTACATTGAAAATTGTTTACAAATNGTAAGTAAAACAATTTAATATTACGTATAAAATTTCGTTCCTTCAATTACATTGAAAATTGTTTACAAATTATCCAACAAACATTATGGCGAATGTTCCGAAATTATTTTCAATATCCAGTATGAATGTCGTGTAAATGAACATAATACTCATTTACTTCAAAGCTGTCACAACTCAAAAAACCAAAAACTCGGAGAAAAACAGCTTTAATGTTTTGAATTTAAATATACTGCCATAGTAAAAAAATTAATACATATTTTGTTTTAATGAGCTACTGGTAATCGGTACAGCTAGGCATTACACAACATAGAAGAAGAGGGAGGGGTCGTAGCAACACTGGGCTCGGTTAAAAATTCCATAATTAATGGTGTAAGAGGGTGGTCTTCGTTTCAATAACTTGCCCATTCTCTAGCCAGTCGTGGATACAGGGAAGAGCCGATGGGGGCGAACGCCCTTCCCCTCAGAGATGGAAAAAAATATTAAATATATTACCTCAAACGAAAAATTTGAAAACGAATTAAAAAGAAAAAAAAAATTAATCTTCAATCATAATCCCTTTTTTAGGCTTGTACAAGATTATTTATAGAATAAGAAAGCATTCAAATCTTTTAAATTAAAAATTACAACAATGGGTATGCAAATACTATGAATTTATAGACCTCGTCATTACATTACGGCATTTACATTATGAAAAGATTTGACCATTTGTCTTAATATTTTTTAATTTTCATAATTTGTTAAAAAAAATATAGTATAATCTTTAATAAAAACCGTATAAATCCAAGCTTGAATCTCTGTGCAACGTTTTAAAAAATCAACCCACTTTCGTAAAAATTTCGATCTTTTTAATTCGATTTTTAAGAAATATTTTGGGTAAGCAGTTTTCTAGCCCATTCAATTTTACTGCAGGTTTAAAGTAATTTTTGAAGTGAAACTTCTTTAGCGGCGGTTGCTTGGTTGGGAGTAAACTGGCAAATTCATCGGAAATTGCACACGGAAATGGTGCAACGGAAATTATGCAACGGAAGTGATGCAACGGAAATGGTGCAACGGAAATGGTTGGGCATGAAACAAGTACTTCTTATGTGTATGCAACGGAAATGATGACACGGAAATGATGCAACGGAAATGGTGCACCGGAAATGGTTGGGCCTGAAACAAGTACTTCTTGTGTGTACGCAACGAAAATGATGCAACGAGAAGGGTACAACGGAAATGGTTGGGGCTGAAACAAGAGCTTCTTGTGTATATGCATATGGCATTAATTTAACAAAAATTTGCTAATAAAAGGTTAAAGAATAACACTTAGACACAGAGACTCAATCCGGGAACTATTTTGGGATTTTAGAAATTTAGATATTTTTATCGGTTTTGTTATCGATATTTATCGATTTTGTTATCGATATTTATCGATTCTGTTATCGATATTTACCAATTTTGCTATCGATTCTTATCGATTTTTTTATCGATATTTATCGATTTTGTTGTCGATCTTTATCGATTTTGTTATCGATATTTATCGATTTTGTTATCGATATTAAACGATTTTGTTATCGATGTTTATTGATTTTGTTATCGATATTTATCGGTTTTTTTATCGATTTTGTTATCGATGTTTATCGATTTTATTATAGATTATGTTATTGATATTTATCGATTTTGTTACCGATTTTGTTATCGCTATTTATCTAATTTGATATCGATATTTATCGAGTTTGTTATCGATATTAATCGATTTCTTTTCAATATTTATCGAATTGGTTATAGATATTTATCGATTTTGTTATCGATATCGATATTTTTATCTATTTTTAATGGATATTTTTATCGAGTTTCTAATGGATTTTGCTACCAATATTATTATCGATTTTGCTATCGATATTTTTATCGAATTTTTCATCGATTTCGTTATCGATATTTTTATCGGTTTTGTTATCGAGGTTTTATTGGATGTCATCTCGATTATCGATTTTTTTATCGATAGAGAATAAAGATGAAAATGAAGATAGAGGAAAACAGAATAACATAAATGTAATTAGAACGAACAGGAGTTGAGGTAGGTATCTAGATAGAAAAAAGACAAAAAATATAACCTTAAGAAAAAGAGGATGTTGTATGTACATTGGTTATGACTCATAACTCATCACTTATGAGACAAGATAGAAATGTATGTAACGTAAATTTCACTTCTCTAGTGTGGCCCAGGCGCACTTACTTTTTTTTTTTTGGTGACCATGTTAGCCATTTTATTCCACACAAAACATTTTCGACGATTTTTTGGTTATATGTAGAAAATGAGCAACACCTTCGACGAGAAAAATTCCCAAAAATCAATGGTACTTGAAATTGGGCTACAAAACTGCATACTCAAAATGTTTCTTAAAAATTCATATGAATTAGGTTTAGAATGATTAAAACGAATAAAATGAGTTGAGTTCTTATTCAGACACTAAAGAAGGCGTTTGTTTTATTTAAGAACGTTATTGGCGACGAGGATAAAAAAAAGAAAACAGGGTTTAAAAAGAGTTAAATACTTGTTATTGAAAAGTTTAAATATAGTTAAACGAGTGAATTTAGCAGAGTTTAGCTTAGCTAAATAAAAAAGCTGTGAACTCAAGAACTTTGTGATTTAATGCGGTGATGTCGAGCTCTTCCAAAGTCAGAGAAAGAACATATAAAACCACATAATTAAAAAGTAACAATTAAATAGAAAAAAAAGAATTTGAAACGTGAAACTTTAAGACCTGCTTATTTGAATACACAAGAAAAACACACGTGTTTCTACTAAATATTTTGACTGAGACCTCCACAAAGGTCAAAAGGGACGATTATAACCTCTAACAAGGTCATTGTATGCATGCACGTAAGAAGTGCAAATATAGAAAACTGTGCGAAAATCAGTTCCTACGTCATTCATGAAGGTGAATGGGAGTACACGCAATAACAACAACAACAAAAAATCCTAAGAACTAAGAACAGAAAAAACAAAAACATTTTGTGCAATCGATTGGAGTTTACCACCAACTGCAAGGCTGAGAGCAAACTCTGTGAAATTCTAACAAATATTCATGGAGAGCAGCAAAATAAAAAAATACCTTTTTAACAAAAATCAACAACAATAAATAGACTCTTAAAATATTAACTGCAACAAAACAAAGCGAAGAGTAGACTCGATGTAATTTTAATAGCTCACTCGCATATTAGCGGGAGCAACAATAAAAACATAATAACATACATACGTTTAAACAATTCTCTTCTTTAAGTGATAACAACAAAATAATTTTGTGCAGGCGATTGGATTGCAACAAACACATTTATTCAATGAGTGCAGTATTGAACATTGTAGCAATAACACTAGATATCGTCGCAGCATACATACGTACATATAAGTATTTTTGAATTACTCCAATTTATTTCGCCTACTGTGATTTTATCACATACATTTTTTATTCTTTTTCTCTCCATATTTAAATAAAAAATTGAACACTTTACTATGGAAGCATTAGAGATAAGTAGATTTAACTTAGTTTTATCCTGCATTCAAAATATTGAGTGTTTTGATGGTAACGATCCAAACCAGTTACCAGATTTTATAAATCAAGTTGAAAACATTCTGCCATCCATTTTTGAGTTTAACAACAGTAACACAAATATTCTTTTTGGTTATATAATACTAAGTTCTGACCAAAAGTTGATCTTGTAATTAACATACTTATCGTAATTATCTCGCCAATCCCCTTGAGATAGCAAGATTTCGCCATACAAAAATATGACTTGAAAATCTCGTCACCAAGTGGATCAGGATTTAATCCTCATGAAATCTCGCTGTGCAACCCTGATTTAGCGCCCTCTGTTTGTGAAAACAAATTCACCACAGCTGATGTTGACAATTATTAACTGTCAAATTGTAGTCAAGAATTAATAAAATAAAATAAACGAAAGTTACTGGCGAACGGATGGACTCCAAACCAAAAAAAAAAAGGGTACTTTGGAATGAGGCGGCGGAGGCTGCTCTGATTGAGTTGTGGCGCGAGAAGATGCCAGAGCTGCGGTCAGCTCGAAAGAATGGCCATATCTATGAGGAGATGGCCAGCGATCTGGGAAACATTGGCTTCGTATATACTGGAGCGGAAGTGAGAGTTAAGTTGCACAACTTCTCCAACAAATACAGGTACATAAGTAGCTACTAAATTAACTTTTATTTTCTTTCATTTATTTGTTAAATACTTATAGGCAAGAAAGGGCAAAAGTTGGTCCGTCGGGAGGCTCTCCATCTACGTGGAAACTGTATAATGCCGTCCATGAAGCCCTTGGATGCCAAAAGAGCTACTGCGCTGACGAGTTGACGGAGGATAGTATTATGGGTACGTAATAATAAATTCTATTTACTTTCGAGATCCTTTTTTATTGTTTTATATGTATATAATATTTTAGTTGATTTTGACTGCAACGAAGCCGAGTTTTACGAGTGTATCGAAATCGAGACGGATGGAGAGTCAACAACATGCCCACCGCTTCCCAGTCCTAGCTCATCAAATGTAGACTCCTCCAATAGGCCTTCCTCGAGCGAGCCTGCAAAAAACAAGAAGAAGACGGCAGTGTCAGTGATGGAGGATATGCGCACCGACTTCTTAATGGCAACTCAAGAAATGAAGCAAGCAGATGACAAATGGCTTGCCATTTTGCAACAGTATGCGGATAATGTGAGCGAAATGAAAGACGCGTTCGTAGAATTTCTTCGTCGTCAAAATAATAATTAAATATATTAACTTTGCAGAACTTAAAAATTATCCGACGTGTAACATTTTTACATACAGCCAGAGTTAAAAGATGGTATGTATTTTGTTGTAATATAATACTTATTAGCAATTATTCTAGTGAAAAATTTTTTTCCTTAATTTTGTATGAAAATATATCGACTGCTGAGTGGAAGATCGCCCTATCTCGACAGCCAGTTCGAAAACGCTCTATCTC